AGATACAGGATCCGTTCAGCCTCTCTTCTCTCCTTCTCAATCTCTCCTTCCAACTCCCTCTGCCCAAGGCTGACCACACTCCCTCACTCTCAAGAACACACAGCTTATCTATTTTCCATGTTTAAGGCAGCCAAAGGCTTTAAAAGATAATGAAAATCTCTCAACTGCACTGTTGAGTTGCAAAGAATTTGCTAGATTTGCTGGCACAGAGAGTTACAGGAATGTTCTTCTAGTACTTTGTGGTCTGGAATCCCTGGAGGGTCAGGAAGCTACAGGAAACACAGACATGTGAAAATAATTATACTATAGCAAGGGGTGTGTTGGCTCTTTGGGGAATGAGGGGGAGAGGCATCATATACTTCTTGCAGAAGAGGGGACAGTTGGGTCTCACAGGATGGTGAGGAGGTCAACAACAGGCCTAGACTGGGAGTGGGGGCGAAGGGATCCAGGCAGGGGTAGCACCAGGTACAGAGGTGCTTCCCTAAGCATAAAAAAGCGTGCCATTTTGGATGTGGACAGATCAGCCCTACCCACAGATGGGCAAGTTGACTTAGCTGGTTTGGCTGGCTGGGCAGGTGCCCCTCCCCCCACCACCACCATGTTCCACGTGTGTCCTTCCTGAGCCTGCTCTCTTCTTAACACTCAGGAAATCAATCATACTCTGTCAAGACTAGAGAGATAAGCATGCTTTGCCGTCTAGCACCAGCAGGACGAGACCTTCAGTGCAGCTGAAGCATAGACTGTGCTTAAGGGCAGCCAGAAGTAAGGGAGAGAAAGGACTGGTGGGAAATGAAAGTTGAAGGATCCTTCCACCCAGGTCATGGGGGCAGGAAAAGGACCTTGCCTAGCCCTGGGTTCTTCTTCTATCTTACGGCGCAGCTCCAAGGAGGAAGCCACGCACCCCGTGTGCTGGGGGGATCTGAAGGAAGCATGTGGATTGCTGCGCTCATCCAGCGATGGCAGTGACTTTTAGGAACCGAATGGCTGGCACCCTGATCTTGGATTTCCCAGCCTCCAGAACTGGGAGAAATCAGTGTTTGTCATTTAAGCCACCCAGTCTATGGTACTTTGCTATGGCAGCCCCAATTCACTAAGACAATAAGGAATTCGGAAAGAGTGACGTGTTTGCAGAAACCATAAAATGCTGTTTCAAATCTACTGCACTTGAGAGGCAGAGAGGACAAGAAGGCAGTTGGATATATTGGGCTGAAGCTCAGCTGTGAGTCAGTGTAGATGAAGGGGCAAATGAGTCACTGAGCGCTCTGGGAAGATAGATGCACTGTTAAGGGGATATTCTTAATGCAGAGCAACAAATATTTTACCATGCCCTGGTTAAGCACTGTAGGGCATGCAAAGATGAATTCTGCATAGGCTTCTATCTTAAGGAGCCTACTTTGTTTTAATTATGGCCATGGACTCAGGTCCAATATGTACAAAAAGTATTTCTAAGAAGTATTGCTGAAGTAAGGTGTAAAATTAATGTCTACAAGTTTAGGTCTGTTTCCCTGGCTTTCTCTGAGGTTTGACATATAAGTACGTACCCCTTTTGTTTTCATTCTTTTTTTTTCTTCGGATTACTTATGAGATTAAACCAAATTCTAGGATATGATAAACATGAGAATTGATTTACTTGCTCTTTATTTTCTATCTTACTTTATGCTTAAACATAACATGGCTAAATCATAGCTGTGCAAAAAATGAAGGGTGCATCTTTACGAAAATCTCCAATCTCAGGAATTAAAGTGGAGAGAGAATGGAGGAAGGTTAACACAGTTGACTTACTTTTTAGAGCAAAACACCTTTTAAAAAGATATTTTCCTGTATGTTGGTTAACTATTTTTAGGTAAACACACACACACAGAGACACACACGCAGCTACAGTCTCTCAATTGACTGCTAAAGCTTATGAAATGTGCAGTAAATATTTAAGAAAATGCTTAAAATATTTAAGAAAATATTTAAACATTTAAGTAAATATTTAAGGAATATTCTAAAATATATGAATTTGCATGAAGGACAACTGCAGGACTGCTGTACGTTCCTTTAGAAATTAAACTTTGGAATAAAAGATAAAATTTTAGAATTTGAATTTAATAGGCATGCTAAAAGTGCTGATATGCACTTTATAGCATCACAAATTGAGAAACGGTAATTTAAAGCAAGTAATGGTATCTTGTTTCACCAGAAATTTGTATATTTTGCCAATAATTTTGTAATATCTTAGAAAATCTCTTTCTAAAGTATGAGATTTCTTATTGAAAAAAATTCAGATACAGTGGATTCATATAGAAAATTTGTCTTTGGTCTCTTTATTTAAACATTTTAATTCCTCTTTAATCACATTTTAGCCTGTGGCATACACGTAACACATTTTGTTCTTCCCCCAGAAACTGATGTGTTTACTCTTTTATGGACTCAAAGGGGCTCTTCAAATTAACTTCAATTTTTATGGCCCCTTTTTCATATCCCATGTGTGAATTTACTGTGCAGACTTATGAATGATGGAACCACCTTCAGCAGCTGACTATCGAATTGCTTTGCTTGGGTGAGTATAGAAAACCTTTGGCAATGTGGTTCGGACCCGAGTTTAGCACTTAAGCGAAACTTTTTAGAACTGGCCAGGATATAAATCAATATGAAGGAGGCACCTGAACGCAAAAACACATTTTTAAAAATTCATTAAAAATTATTTTCAATTAAGTTTCTACGACCGAAGTTCATCTCTCTTGAACAAATTAGTTCCCTTTTTAAGTTTTATCTTTTCAAGTATCTATTGTGTCAGTGCTCAAGGTAGAACTCTAAGTAAAATTACAATTTTAAAACCTTTTGGGCAATGATTCCAATTAATATAATTAATATTTTAGCAAAATGTCATGGGCTGTAATTGAAAGAAATCATCTGGGTCTGAAGAGTACCTACTGAGGGCAGCCCTATTAAGATTAATTCTGAGGTGGGTAAATTAATTTCCTGGACTTGCAAAGCAGCAAAGGGAAGCTTTTCCCTCTTCAGAAACCTGGAGGGGTTGGTCTTTGGCCCTGTTGAGGCCCAAGGACTATCTGGGCTGATTACCATACATATAATTAAAGTGCATCAGCTAGAAAGGCAGAGCCAGTTCTATTTGGCTCCGAACTACTGTGAAATAATTTTTCTGTCTACATTATTTACCGTGTGTGTGTGTGTGTGTGTGTGTGTGTGTGTGTGCGCGTGTGTGTGTGTGTGTGGCGGAGGGGAGTCTAGTTTCCCTTAATATCATTCCGCTGCCTTCTTGGGATTCGTGCTTCCTCTCCTAGCAGACACCAAAGAGTAGACAAGATTTCCCTAGCATTCAAACTAGATTTTCTTTCCATTCATATCACCATTTTCAAGACACATTTTTCATCACCTGGTAAGAAACACTGTAAATAATTGAGGTGATCCATCAAGAGACCCATTCTTGATAATGAAAAATTGCATAACTCAGTAGAAGTCAATTAAAAACCACGAACTTCACAACCCTTTGCTCAGTGAAGATTTATTATTATAGAGGCATTTAATACAATCGATTATGGGGTCAAAATTTTTTTAAGTTCTAAAAAGTCAGTTAAATCTTGAGAATAAACTTAAGATTTACACAATATCAAAGTATATTAGTTCTACAAAATGAAAAGTTTTTTCTTTTCCCTCCTTTAACACAAAATGTCTGAGATGTTCAGGATTTTAAAACCACACGAGAAACAACAATCCACGGCGAGATTTTTTTTTTCCTTTGTAGGTTTTAAATGATTCTTACTCTTTGGTTGTGCCTATACAATGAAAAGTAGACAACAAATTAAATGAGGTAAGTCAGGATATTTTTCTCTGTTAAACCAAATATCTGAATAATTAGAACTACCTACAAAATGACTCAAAATGTTTTTGTTACCTGGTTACTTGGTTAGGACACAGCCAAAATTTAATAGAATGAACTATCTTATACAACTGCATATAATTAAGAAAAAATAAACAGTGACTTTGTTTCTTTAGAGACATCCAATGCTGTGTGAGTGGCCAAGGGGAAAATGCCAAGTCTCTCAAATGTAACATGCATAATACTTTTCTTGCCTTTTAGTGGTTTTCCATGGCCCACATATGAAATTAATTAAGGAGCAACACCTATCTTCAAAAATCAAAAATACTTATTTTGAGGTACCTAGTCTCCCAGCATAAGTTTAAAGTGTGCTTAGATTTAGGTGGGATATGGTACTCAGGCCTGACAGATGCCTAACTCCAGCCAACAGAGCACATGTGACTTGCTTCCTACTGAAATTAAACTGCCAAATAAAAAGGAGGGATTGTCCCCTTTCTTAATAACAACGAATGCAATCGTTAGAATTCTTCAGGTTTGGAATTCGAGCACAGCTCTTGTGTTTTCCTCTTGATGTGTGACAAGAATGAGTAATATCAAAAATAAAAATAAACCTCATTTAAACAAGCAGTCCTCTGACTTTATAAGCCTCAACATCAAATACATCAAATTCTAAAACTACCTAAGACCCGTGAAATGTCAAAGCTGAGGGGATGACACGCTGGAGACAGGGGACAGACTTTTTAAATCTTTCAATTTTTTTGAAACTATTAGCATTAACTTTGTTCATTTCTGTTGAGATATTGCCACTTCAACTGACTATGAGAAGCCACATTTCATATTCATATAAATATTTGACTTTGACCTCATAAAAAGTCCCTTGGGTCTATAATACTTTTATTCTTGTATAACCTAAAACAAATCCTTTCCTTTTAAAAATCAAACAGACCACGTTACACACACAGTTGACTATTTACAAAGCACCCAATTAAATCCTACTTAATTCTCTCTCACTCTAAAAATTCCATCTAACTGGTGGGTAGAGTACTGATCACATTAAATGCATAATGCTCACAAGCCCTGAAAGTCCTATCTAACCTAGAAAACACTACCTTCCTTAAAGAGAAAAGAAAGTCTTAAAAATAAGTGTAAGGTTTTGAAGAAATGAGACCAGAAATCACAGTACAAGACAGATAAATCTACTTTAATATTCACATGTAAAAGTTACACATCACAAGAGATTGGACAGTAGTTTAGCAGTTAACTAACATAGCTATAGTGAAAATCATTTTTATAAAAAAATAATCTAGATGCGGTCATCAGAATTTTTGGTCTACTTAAAGTTAATGTTTGAAGATCGACTTTTACCCCTGCTTGAAGGATTTGCCATTATGCCTTTCGAATTTTTTTCTCCCACTGTTGCCTATTAATATTCTTTGGAGGAAGGAAAGCAGAAAGTGTTCATTTCCAAGAGTTTGTCCTTTGGTAGCAAGCAGAGAACATTTTTCATTTCTATGATTTAAATAGTCTGTACAGACATGAAACTTAGTGACATTAAGCTTTAGTGTAAAATGAAGAATGATAAGTATTTTTTCACTTTGATTAAAACAGTAGATTTCCTAAACTCATAAGGATCCAAGCATTTCCTCATCCTGTAAGCAAAATCATTCAGAATCCATTTTGACCTCAGTTAAAAAACAAAAAACACACACTTACTCTTTATATATTACACTATCAAACCCTGTACTTAAAAACTGATAAAGCATATTATCAACATGTATGCTTCAAATACAAAGATTTCAATCTAGGTTAAAGAAAACACATTTGAATGGACTCAGAACAAGTTTATTTTGTGATTAAACATCTCATGCAGTCATGCAGGACCACTAGCTATAACTGTTACTTCCGAGTCTACAGGACACTGGGCAAAACAAAAACAAATTAAAAGCCAGGCCAAACAGAAAAGACATTCAAGATACCAAGAGCTCTTCAACTGAGCTGGAAAATAATTTTCCAAAAGAAATATTCCCATAGATTAAAAAAAACACACACATAATATTTACAAAAAAATATTTAATTAAAAATATCTTATAATTACAGTAGTCTATTAAAGCATATACTTTCTCACACTTATAGAACATCTCTATATATACACGGTATGAAATGTCACTCAGTTATCTATACAATATGTAACATTCCTGCAGGGAATAGAAAGTTCCCTGCCCCCTTATAATCATCTATTTTAAACAATAGATGTAAAAAAAAAATATCTACAATGCTCTTGTATATTAGTAAAGCTTCAAAACAAAAATTGAGCTCCTTGGTCACAAAGTAGGTTTCTAAAAGTCGGATTTGCTCTTGATCTTTTATCAGTCCTGTCACACTTAAGCTTAAAAGTTTAACTGCACCTCCAAAAAACACAGAAATGTACAATTCACAGCGGTTATAAATGAGACGAAAGAGAATACGTATGTAGAATGTTTATGAACGTGCAAAAAAAAAAAAAGGATGAAAGTTTTATTTTTCTTCCCTCTCTCTCTTGGAATGACGAGTGAAACGTTTCTAGGATTTGCTGATGTTTTTTTCCTTTCCTCCGGTGGCTTTTTCTCTAACTTCTGCTCTTCCCCCTCCCTTTCTTGTGCTCCTGGCTCGGGCTCAGGCGGCCGCACACCTGTGGAAGAGGAATGAATAGAGGGGGTGTGTGAACCTTCCCGCTGCAGACTAACTGGCGCCACCGACCAAACTCAAGACATGCTTGATCAACAACCCAAAACAAACCACCGGGTCAGACTACACTCGCAGTCCGCCGCCCGGCCAGGCGCCGAGCAGGCAGCTGCGGGCCCCCGGGAAGCCCGAAGAGGGGATCCGAACTCCCGGGCCCTCCCTGCGTCCTCCTTCGTGGGTGTCAGAGTGCGCGGGGGGGGGGGGGCATCGGGCACCACGCCCACGAGGGTACCCTCCCTCGGCGGGGAGAGGGCAGTAAGAGCCCGCCGGTCGCTGGGGGCGGCACGGGGGGTGGCGGGAGCGTGAGCTGATCCTTCTCCATTTAGAGTGAACCCCCAGCTGCTGAAGCTAAGCTTCACTTACTAACTGGGTGGCAGGGAGAGAGGAAGGGTGTCCACCTCCTTGGGAATTTGCCCTCAGAAATGCTGGAGGCAAAGAACGCCGCTGTGGAAGGCGCCGGGGACGGGCGTCTCTGGCGACCGGCCACACGAGAAGGGAAACGCGCGCTCACCTGGACAGCTAGGCTCAGCGGCACAAAATGCTGTCGCCCTGCTTGTTCACCGCGCCGGCCTGGAACAGCAACGAACACCAAGGGAAAGGTGAGCAGGCGCGAACAACGCACTCGCCACGGTCTTCCTTGATTCGTTCTCGGAACCCAGGCTGGCCCGCCGACGCCCCCATCCCAGCCTACAGCCCTGGGGACGCCCCCTTCCCCGAGCACAGGCTGGACCTGACAGCCCACGGTGCGCACAGCCCTAGTCCCGCCCCGCGCATTCACCCGGCCTGTGCTCGCTGCACCCAGCCCGCCGCTGGCGGCCCCCAGCGCCGGAGGAGCAGGAGGGTGCAATTGTCATTCTCGCCCCTGCCCCGAGGAAACGGGAGCGCCCGCGTCCCACCACCCCGCCACCGCCCTCCTGGACTCCCACGGGGTCCGCCCCGGGCCGGCAGCCGGCCTCTCACCGGGTCGGTGTTGAGCGCCGTGAGCGGGGTCCGCGGCGGCGCAGCCGGACAGGTCCCGGCCGGGTGGTGCGGCGGCGCCGGCGGCGGCGGCTGCCTCAGCAGAGCCGGGTGCGTCTCCAGCGCCAGCTGCAGGTCCAGAATGTAGTCGATAACGTGCTGCAGGATCTCCACTTTGCTCACTTTCTTGTTGGGCGGGATGGTGGGCACCAGCCTCCGCAGGCGGCTGTAGCAGTCGTTCATATCGCACTGCAGGCAGAGCGCCGGCTCGTCGGCCGCCGCCTCGGCCGCCTTGCAGCGCGCTGCCGCCGCCGCGGCCGCCGCCGCCGCGGAGCCGCCCAGGCTGTGGCCGTGCTCGGCCAGGCAGCGCAGCGCCAGCTCCCCGCCGCCGCAGCCCGACGGCGCCTTACGGCCCGAGGGGCGCACCGGGCTCACCGCCTTCATCGCGCGCGCCCTGCGCGAGCGGACCCGGTGGGGCGAGCGAGGGAGGCAGGCAAGCTCCAGGCCCCCGCCCGCGACCGGCTCCGCTCCTCTTGCCTTTGCGCCCCGCGCGCTCGGTCCGCGCTTGGGGCACCGCGAAGCTCCCGGCGATCCCGCGCCCAACAATTGACAGGAGGGTCGCTCCGGGTTTTGCGAGGGGATCTCTGCTCAATGGGCGACACTCGGCCGAGACCAAAAGGCAAGAAAAATCAAAAGCACCGGAAGGAAAGCAGCCCACCGGGTTCCCTAGTCACTCCCTTCGGACCTCCAACCCGACCGCCGCCGCTCCGCTCCCCCTAGCCCAAGGTTTCCCCGCTCCGGTAACCGACCCACAACCGCACCTCCGCTACGCTCTCGCACGGCCCGCCGCGCAGCTGTATTTATAAGCCGCGCGCCCCGGGGGCGGGGCCAACGCGTTGGCCGTGTCGCCGGGCGAGGGAGCAGAGCTGGGCTGGGCTCGCGGGCGGGTGCGCGGAGGGAGGCGACGAAGGCTGGGGCTCCGGGAGATGCTGGGGGGCGGGAGCTGGGCAACCCGAGTGGAGGGGTGGGCGGGGTTCTGGAGTGGCCAGCCAATCAGGCGGACGGTGCCACCTCAGGGAATGGCGCTCGGGCCAATGGGAGGGGCACTCCATTCCGTCAACGCCGTGGGTGGGGGCTCTGAGAAAAGAGAGCTGGGTGGGAGTCGGGCCAAGCTGGTGAGTGCCTTAGGGAGGGGAAAAGAGAGGGAGAAGTTCCTGCGAAGAACTGCGGCAATGTGCGGCTGGAATTTACTCTACCCCCGGCTTAGGCGGCTGAGGGAGCGCTGGGCCCTGCTCGAGGCTCTCCTGTCACTCCGAACAGCGCGGCACCCAGGGACCCTCCGCCACCAGTCACTCCATCCCTGGGATTCCAGCGCCTTAAGAAGGACGCTGTTCAAGAAGGCACGTTCGTTCTCGTCTCTATTTTTCCCCTCCATTTCTTTATTCGCCTTTTCACAATTGCCGAAACCATAATGATGGAATGGAATGCGGAGGCTTTCCGTTCCTGTTTTTAAAACGTTAAAGCTTAGGGGGAAAGAAAAAGAAAAAAGAAAAAGAAGGCCAAATGCAGATTTTTGGTGAAGGGACGTGTAAGTAAAACCAAAACGTCGTAGGGTTTTTCTTTTACCCATCTAGATGCAAAAGTGGGCTCAAGAAATGCAGTTGCCTTCAGCATTAAATTAGGGCACGTAAATATTAAAAATGCATGGGCACGGAGTATTTAAAATTTCACCATGACATATAATATTAATCTGTTTTATGTAAAATTCATACCTGTAACTTAATGTAGGCCATTAATGCACTGCTTCACGTACCCCGCTTTAAATAAGATACTGAGAATGTCCAGAATCTCCTCCTTTTGCAACGAAGCATTAAAATTCACACTTCCAGTCCCTGGAGTCCTGCTTGGGCCCCACCCTGCAGAAAAGTCTGCTAATTAAAGACGTTTCTGTGTTAGATTTCTAATGGGAAAGCTGTCCTTCAATGGCTCAAAACAAAATTGCACAATGAACTTTGATAGGGCCTTGTGTGTACTCTGCAAGAAAAACTTGAGCCCTTCAGATAAGAAATGAGCATAAAAACTCTGTCAGTGGGGACATGAATTTTGTGTGCCTTTACCCTGCAAACCTCCCACCTTTAGACAAGCTGGGAGATGAATTAACTCAAGAATTTTCTTAATTTATATACATGATATGGATTGATGCCTTCATTTTTATAGATAATTGAAAGAAAGAGATATGGACCTCATTTCTTCTTGTCTACCCTCTGTAAGGAAACCCTCCCTTCCTTCCCAGAACAGAAATACCTGAATCAGGCAGGAATTTTGTTTAACCATGTGGGTACTTTATGACTATTGCATTGCTATTTCCCCAGAGCACATTCCTTTTTCCTGATGAAGTGAGGAGTGACCTTTTAATGCTGGTTTCACAGGTAGATGCAACAACCCTCCTCTCCCCTAATCCTTATGCATTAAGGCCTCCGATAATTGTTGGGAAGCGAGTGACAGTCTCATTTACTCATGAGCATACCTAGATGGTCTACATACACACTTATCAAGAAAAGCAGAATTAGAAAACCCAAAAGAAGGCTCTCTTCTAAATACAGGCATAGTTTTATATAGGCTTAAATTGATATAAATACACACAGAGTGAATATTGTCAATTTTGATAGAAAGCTGGGCAAGGGAGCCCTGCTGGGTGTAAGCTATTCCCCTGGAGCCAATCACATCAGCATAGGTGATAATAATAAAAGGATATATGTACAGATGTTTTGTTCCATTGATTTTTTTTTTCCTCCTTCCTAGAGTTTAAAAACTGCTCCAAAATTTAAAACCTAAGATTATTCTCTGCTTGGCAAAATGTAAGTATGCTAATATGCCTAGGGCACACTCACACTTCAGAACTTTACGTGTCCTAGGTTGCTTAAAATTTAAGTTTGAAATAGGTGACACAAAGGGACAGTCGTATCCATCTTTTTGGACTTGGTGAAACCTCAGAGAGCCATGCCCTGGGTGTGGCCAGTGCCAGATACCAAAGTTTCAAGTTTTTGGGGGGTTGCTCTGTGTGTGACTGGCTTAAAGTCAGAAAGACTGAGTGACTTTGGGACTCTGGGGGGTAAGTTAAAGGAATGTACTCTGGCCACATGATCAAGAACACCCAGGAAAAATGTGATCTCCAAATCCTGCCAGCAGAGGAGGTAGAATCAGTTATTGTATCCCTCTTTGTGAAGGTGGGAAGGCAGGAAGATATTTAAAAAAAAAAAAAATCAAAGTTCTACATAAAACACGATACAGTGGAAAGAAGGTATACATCCTGTGCTTTTTGGCCCAGGAAACGAGAGTCCTAGGAGCTACACAGCGTTATGTTTTTGATTTTTAGACACAGTCACTTACATGACGTCAAAGCTAAAGTCACGAAAGACTCCAGGCACTGATAGTTCAAAACAAGAGGTTACTCAGCACTTGCCAGCTTTTGGAAAAACCTTACAAGCGACATTATTTCTGCCGTGTAGAAAAAGAAATTCAGTTTCCCACGACTCTTCCTTTTACTTCAAACTGCTTCCCTCGCGCTTGTAAAAGTAAGGCAGACCAGCCAAAAGCCCTTTGCCATGAAAGTGCTAGAGACTCCCAAAATGTACCTCAATGGGAAACGGGGGTGAAATATTCATAGGAGAATTGCTAGGGAGTCCTGGTGACCAGAGTCATGTGTACACCCCTCCTCCAGACAAAGGGGTCTGCAGCCCTTTCTGGGGTTGCTTTCTAGATGCTAATCAGACCCTCGCTGAACTGCAACACCCGGGCTCTTAGAATTCACAATCGCCCTGTGTTTACATGAAGCAAGGGTATCCAAGCATATTGTGCTATTCAGCCCAAATGCCTTTTTAGGACTTGATACTTCTTTCTCCATGGCCTGCAGTGAAACAGTGGGTGGGCTCAGGCACACAGATAAACATGAGCGTTCCCATGCCTTGGTCCCTCTCTGGATGTAAGTGGTCACTGCACAAGGCACATGCATTCGTTCCGGGCATAAGAAACCCCTATGTACTCTGCTGCAGGAAAGTCCCTTGCTCCAAAAGAGTAAATTGGGCAATGAGGCAATTCAAACTCAAGGCTGCTTTATCTGGTACTAAGCATTACAGACTTACTTGTGCTACCCTTGGACTGCTGATACCAGTCCCGGAAACGCTGATGACCTCTTGGTTTGCCCGGTCTTGGAAAAGGCTTATAGGAAGAGGACTTTATATACTGAACATAGCTGGGCAGTTGTGGCCATCAAAAATGCCTACTACAGGAGTTTTGAAAGGTAGTCTGTTGAAATAAGATGTAGGTGATTTTTTTAAAAGCTCTCCTCGGGCTTCCCTGGTGGCGCAGTGGTTGAGAATCTGCCTGCCAATGCAGGGGACACGGGTTCGAGCCCTGGTCTGGGAAGGTCCCACATGCCACGGGGCAACTAGGCCTGTGAGCCACAACTACTGAGCCTGTGCGTCTGGAGCCTGTGCTCCGCAACAAGAGAGGAAGCGACAGTGAAAGGCCTGCGCACCGCGATGAAGAGTGGCCCCCGCTTGCCACAACTAGAGAAAGCCCTCTCATAGAAACGAAGACCCAACACAGCCAAACAAAACAAAAACAAAAAACAAAAAAAAACCCCTCTCCTTAGACAGATTAAGGACAGAAAATGAGAAGACAAAGTTGTCATTTGTTTTTACCTTAAGAGTCATCAAGAACATGGGCTCAAAATCAGCCTGGGTTCTAGTTTTGGCTCCTTGATTTACTAGTTTTATATCATTAAGCTGGATTCTTAAATTCTTGTGCCTTTATATATGAAATGAAGATAAAACTATCTACTTCATAAGGTATTTATAATATATATGCAAACTTATATAAAGTTTTTAGAGCAGTGTCTGGCATATAATGTGTGCAAAAAATGTTAACATTTATTATTATTTTTGGTAAATAGTTCTTCCCAGTTTGTGGCTTGTCTTTTCATTCACTCAGTCTTTTGAGAGCAGAAGTTTTTAATTTTGATGATGTTCAGTTAATCAATTTGTTCTTTTAAGGATCATGCTTTTGGTATTGATCTATCTAAGAAATCTTTGCATAACCCAAGGTAACAAAGGTTTTCTCCTATGTTTTCTTCTAGAAGTTTTATAATTTTTAGGTAGGGTTGGTTTCACAGTCCTGCAACTTATTCACTCACACAGGGTCCTGCTCATAGAAGGGCCCCATGCTTGGTTTAATGCTCTGCTATTAGCATTTTGAAATTCTCAGTAATTTCTGAACAAGGGGACCTGCATTTTCATTTTGCATTGGGCCCACGTGATATGTAGCCAGTGTTGGTTTTATGTTTAGGTCTATGATCTATTTTGAGGTTACTTTGGTATGTGGTTCAAGATATGGACTGAAGTTAATATTTTTGCATATGCATATCCAATTGTTCCATTGGACTGCCTTTGCACCTTTGTCAAAAGTTGGTTGTATATATGTATGGGTCTATTTCTGGCCTCTGAGTTCTGTTCTGTTGGTCTATTTGTCTGTTTTTACACTCTGACCACACTGTCTTGATTGCATAGCTTTATAATGTCTTGAAATCAGGTAGTGCTGATTGGCGGATCTTCCAGCTTTGTTGTTTCTCCAAGTTGTTTGGCTAATCTGGAGATGCTGCATTTCCATATGAATGTTAGAATCAGTTTGTGAATTTCTTCAAAAAAGGACTTGTACCCCAAATATATAAAGAACGTATACCCAGAATATATAAAGAACTCTTAAAACTCAATAATAAGAAAACAAACAACCCAGTTAAAAAGTGGACGCAAGACTCGATCGGACAATCCAGTTACGTAAGATATGCAAATGACGAATGAGCACATGAAAAGATGCTCAGCGTCACTGATCATTTGGGTCGCGCTTCAAAACTACAATGAGATACCACTTACACACTTGTCAGGACTGCTAA